TTCGACGATCTCGCGCCCATCGAGCCTGCGCTGAACCTGATCAGCTTCAGAGCTCATGTGACGCAGATGCTCCAGGTACGTGTGAGTCCGGCGTATATATGCGGCTCTGATCGCGAGGGTTGGAATCAGGACGAGGACTATTCGCCTTCCGCCTCATTTATGCTGGCGGGCGATATCCTTCAGCGCCTCAGTGAGTCTAACATACGAGGCTACTCTGAGAAATGGGCGGGAGAGCGATTTGAAGTAAGTCCGTGTCGTTCGCGCCGTCCGTTCTTGATCCTAATCGTCATCGTCAGTTCGTCCGCAGCCTCGCAGACGTGTGCCGAGGCCTGTCGGAGGCTACCCCCACAAACCAAAGGACTCTAAATGATTTTGAGCCTAGCAAAGCATTTAAGTGGGATCCGCAGGTTCACCCGTGGTTCCCTGTGCCGCATACGATTTAACGCGGTGGTTGTATATAAGAAGGTATATGATGGGGAGTTCTCAACATTTTTCCAAGGAGCAGCTCAACCTCACTGGTCACCAGGTCCATTGGAAGCTAGCAGTAGAAAGTAATGTGTACATTTATATCCAGTTATGTATATTTCATACACGTATCACACAACCTCATACCACTGTGAAGTGCAGGATTAGTAGTGCGCGTTTATGCTCAGCCTACAGCCGCTCATCGGGCCCGGTTCGTCTGAGCGCCTACACGCTTCTCTAGACTCTAGAGTACGCGACTACGCCTCCGAGTCGCGGACAAGTCTCCCCAGAATTCTGTCTCTGCTACACTCGACGCTTCATCTTCGCAGTGTTGTGCCAGCTATGAAGAGGAGTGCCTCACCCCTTTTGGGGGGCCTACCCAGCCCATTCAATTCAGGAGTGACGCTATTCGACCCTTCCGAAGCCGCGTCTCCCCTACGCCGCTCCAAGAGACAGAAAGTCGAGGTCAAGTATGAGGAGACAGATGATGAGGAGTCCACCGCTCTTGTTACCCAGAAGAAAAAGCCTACTAAGGCTAAAATGCGTGCGGCCACCGCCTCTCCCAGCAATAGTGCGGCGGGAGCAACAGCTTCGGGATCATCGACACCGTTGAAGGCGAAACGGGTTGCGTCGCCTCGCAAGCCAAAGCTGATCCCGCAGGCGCTGGAGACGCCCCATCCTGCGCCTGCTCGATGGCGCGAGACGTACGACACAATCACGGAAATGCGGGCGCGCATCGTCGCACCAGTAGATACTATGGGATGCGGGCGTGCGCAATTGGAAGAGACAGTACCGCAGGTGTGCAGAAATGTCTGTATATGTGTGGAAGGAGCTGATCTTCCATGCCCTTTAGAATCAGCGCTTTGCGACGCTCGTGTCGTTGATGCTGTCCTCCCAGACGAAGGATGAGGTCACGTCTGCTGCTGTCTCGAAACTGCGCGAGGCACTGGGCGGCAGTATCAGTGTTGATGCTGTCATTGCTGCTGATGAGAACATTGTGTCCGAAGCTATCTGCAAAGTTGGATTCTGGCGGCGGAAGACGCAGTGAGTTTTGTTCCCCAGTATGATATTGACATGCAGAGAGCTCATTGGATCATTTAGGTATATCAAGCAAGCGGCGCAGCGACTGAAAGACGATTTTGACTCAGACGTACCTAAGACCGTAGACGAACTATGCTCCTTGCCGGGCGTTGGTCCGAAGATGGCTTTCCTCGCACTCCATGTCGCATGGAAAGTGTAAAGGCACTCTCATCTGCTTGCTGACTCAGTATACTGAACCGAATACCAGAAATGCCGGTATTGGCGTCGACGTACACGTGCATCGCATTACCAACAGGTTGGGCTGGCATCAAGTCGCGACCAAGACGCCCGAAGAGACTCGGTGCGCTGTCATATTGGACGCCCCATCTCGCCTGCTGACGTTCGCTACAGATTGAACCTCCAGTCATGGTTGCCAACTGAGCTCCGCCCGACATTTACTGGTTTACTCGTTGGATTCGGCCAGGTCTGTCTCTGTGCACTTATCATAGGCTGTGACTGAACCCTCTTCCTCTAGACGGTCTGTCTGCCGATCGGGCCCCGATGCGATAACTGTGAGCTCAGTGACGGGCTTTGCCCTAGTGCTCAAAAAGTCAATCCACGCAAGGGGAAGAAAATGGTCGAGGCGACGAGTCTTGCTGGGCCAAACCTCGAGATAGAACTCGATATAGATGAGGAGAAGCCAATGGTAACATCAGACGGAAGAACCACGTCACCATTAGAGCTGCTGGGAGGTGCTCTGACGATCAAGCCGGAGTCAGAGTGAAGTGTTGGCGGAACTGCCGGGCTAGTCTGTTGTACGCGCTACATTCTATCATACATGTTGCAGATTTAGTCTAGTAACTTCGGCTGACTGCCTTTTTGTCTGTTCAAAGCAGGCCCAGTGACATATCCCAGAAACCCCGCTCGAGACGCGTGCACTCCTCCCACACACCGCGCCATTCTTCGAGCCTGGCAGGCGACGGTGGGTCTACGACTGCCAATGCCTCGATGGTTCCTGTGTGACCAGCATCAAACCAAGGTAGCATGACCTGGTATTGTCTGCGATACTCACCAAGGCCCACCTTGACGGCTGACTGGTACCACTCTCCGGAGTAGTCTTCGATCCACTTCACGTACGGGTTGCCCTCCAGGCGGACCCAGCTGTCCGCTCGCGCTGCCTCGCGCTTAAGCCACAGCCCGACCTCGCCGTAGCCAAGTAGGCACGCCGCGAGCGCCATAACAAGACGCGACGCGTCGCCTGGACGCATAAGTGCCGGACACCAGCTTGAGCGCGACACACTCACCCTGCAGCCCGACATTGAGTAGGTACGCGCCGTACGCGGTCGTCGCGGGCGACTCCCGCGTGGCGTCGAGTTCCGCCTCGCTGATGCCCCACTGAGCGCAGAATTCGCGGTGCATGGACACCTCGCGGATGACGTTCCCGATCGTACGCGTCGCGCTGTCGATCGCGGGGAACGTCGCGGACTTTGCCGCGAGCAGGCTGGTGGCGTCGCGTTAGGCGAGAGGTACGCAGGGGCAGAGGACAAGGCCGTCTCACCCGTATGCCCTCGCGTAGTACTTCAGGTAGAAGTAGTCCTGCCTGTGCGGCGCACCTGGAGTCAGTCTGGGCGCGCGCGCAGGCTGAGGTCGCGCACTTGATGAAATGCAGGAAGCATTCGCGCGGGAGGGTCCCTCGCGCGAGCTGCTTGACGAAATCGTGCTGTACGTATGCCTTCCAGATGTCCCCCGTGGACGAGATCAGGAGGCGCGTCAAGGGGTGCGGGTTGCTTGGGGTCGGCCTGCACCTGGGATCAGCATGTGAGCAGAGAAAAGGTATTGAAGCACGCACAGGGGCACCGTGCGCAGGACTGTGGCGTGCAGGTGGTTGAGTGGTCCGTGACCGCGCCCGATGATGGCAGCAGTCTCGATCCCCAAGTGCGTGTACGATGCGGCGGAGCGCGTTGCTTCCACGACTGTGGGAAGTACGCAATCAGCTTGTAATGCCAGTCTATTGGGACGTCCTGCCTGTCAACGTACCGTTTTCGCCACGACTCAGCCCACAGGTCAGAGCCGCCGAGAGCGTGCACCCGGTGCCGTGTGTGCTCGTCGATTCTATGCGTGGGCGAATGAACAACGTCGCCTCCTCCGCCTGCTGGAGGACGTCAACGACAAGGGGGCGTGTGCCCAGATCTACCTCGGCCACCTGGAGGATCTCCATATTTTCCGCAAGAAGCCCGTCTCTGATAACGCGAAGTCCTGGATAAGCGGCAGATACCCGATCTACGTCCGCAATGGTGGTAGTGATATGCCCGCCTTTGAGCAACACAGCCTTCGGTCCCAGGGACAGCAGGTTCTTAGCTGCGGAGAGCATGTCTTCTAGGTTCTCAACTTCCGACGGCAGGTTGCGGTGAGAGAGCAGGAGTGACGCTTCGGATTTATTCGGCGTGATCAATGCCGCCAGGGGGAAGAGCTCCGTAATGAGCACCTCAATAGCATCAGGATGAAGCAAGGTGTGCCCCGACGTGGACACGCACACGGGGTCACAAACGAGCGGGGGCAATGACGCCGCGGCGAAGTGAGATTTTAGTGTCCGAGTGACAACACGGGTATTTTCTGCATCAAAGAGCATCCCCGTCTTGATTGCCCGTATGCTGATGTCCTCGAACACCGAGCGCAGCTGGAGCAAGCGTCATCCATCTGCAGAATGCAATGATGAGAAAGCGCACGACAGACTTGCTGCTCGAGGAACGCCGGTGGAGAAGGATGGACGGCCTGCACACCGGTCGTATTCTGCGCAGTCAGCGCGGTCACGACGCTCGTTCCATAGCATCCAAGCGCGGTGAATGTCTTGAGGTCTGCCTGCGTGGAGAATCTCAGCTACCCTGGACATGGTCGAACCGCGAGTACAAGCTCACCTGAATGCCAGCCCCGCCACTGGAGTCTGAACCGGCAATAGACATCACGGCTGGGTGGTGCTCCGTCATGTCTGTGATGGACATGGTAAATGTGATGCAGAATTCGAGTGCTTTATGATACGAGTAAGTACTTCAAGCCTGTTCGACAGAAATAGACTCGCGTGAACCTACTTTCTGACAGAGCGTATCTCACGCCCGATAAGGCAACTCAGTAAATAATGACATGCCTCGGACATGCCGACAGTTACAGTTGCCACACCCATCCTTCAATACACATAGCAGGCCGCGTTAAGAATGCGTTAGATGAAGGATGTTGAAAGGCTTGCATTGTCATAGAAGGCGACATAGCCGAGCACTGGGGATCCATATCACCTGCTCCGCGTGGTACAACGCCCTAAGTGACTTACCGAGACTTAGCACCAAGACAGTATGAGTGCTTCTTCACGTTCTTGTTATGTTGTCAGAAAACAGTATGTATACGTATGCGCAGAACGAGTAGTTTACTTGCGCGCATGCCGCTCTGAGCCTCTTGATCTGATCGGAGCTAAATTGCCACTATAAACAGTACGATATGTCAGATACAATCAGCATAAACAATAAGCATTGATGGTGTAGCGGTAACATTGGGTCTTCCCATCAGCCAGACGAAGGTGAAGAAGTTGGCCTAGCTCCGGGTTCGACTCCCGGTCAATGCATTTTTTCGTTCCCAACGAAAGCAGAGTTGCGTTCGGATGCGTAAATGAACACTGACGCACTCTCACGATCAGATAGGCTCACATCTGGGCTTCAAGCAGACACCCAGCCTTCGGCGTGTCATAATGCCGCACATTCTCTGTGCAGTGGACACGGAGGTGAATTATATTCCGCATGTTCATGCCAGAGCAGAGCGGCACTACTTAATTATGACGAAGCACGTGCTACGTGTGGCTGACTAATCACTCTCAAAGTGGGTCCTACTGCCGTCAAGCCACTGGCACTGTCTTTGACCACCTTAGCCATCTAGACTGTCTGGAGGATTTTTGGCTCGTCGCCAGCGTGCAGCCACACGATCCTTGTTCTTGCTCTTGACGGATATGCCTATCTCATGCAATGCACGCGCAGTGACGCTAGGGTGGCTTCGAGATAACATATACACTGCAGATACTGAGCTTCATTCTTATCACTTCTCTCTCCTCATGGCCCTTCACCCCAGAAGATTTGCGTAGGCTATCGATGAAGGTCTACCGCAACGTGGGAGTCCAAAATGGTTACCTCCGAACGTATTGCGGGGCAACTGAGGTCCCAGGGTCAAGACATCCTGGAGAGGGTCAGATTACTAGGCCCTTCCACCTGTCCACAGTTAGTACGTTTAGAATCTTACGAACGAAGAATCAAGATGAATTACTTATGGACGTAATTCATGCCAGATGCTCACCGCATGTATGCATGCTCATGCACACGCCTTGGGAACCTTCCATTTGTCTCCGCACTGTGCCGTTCTCGGAGCCCCGATACACTGCGCTGGTGAGCTGCGAGGCCGGAGACGACCGTCGCTTGCGTTTCGATGCCTACTGATTGTCCGCATCGGGCCCGCAACGCATATGCACCACTCGACCATGTGCATCATCTGCCCTACAGATTCACTTGATGAACTCCAATGCGACAGCTCTCGCAGTCTTGGAAGCTACATGGGACATAAATAACTGGGAGACGCAAGATGTTTGTCTTTCCATCGCCCGCGCACTAGCCCCACGCGCTGCCCGCTGTGCTGCCTCCCGTCTCGTTATCTGTGTTCCCTCCTGCACTTATTCACGTTGCCTCTGCAAGGATGAAGACCGCCGTGCAGATGCCCGCCATTCTAGTGGGGTTCGCTGCCGCCCTCCCCTTCGCATTCGCATCTGCCCTACCCTATCAGTGTCAAATTGCCCGCTCGGCTGCAGATACCAACATCCTCAACCAGCTATTCCCTGTTTCGCAGACCAACTCATGGACGACAGCCCCCGAAGCCAGCGACCCCATGCCCTTGAGCGACGCCACGCTCAAACCGTTCAAGGTACTCAAGGCCCTTTCGCACAACTACACGGACGCCCCAGACGGCACGCTTTCCATGCAGGCGTACTACCCGAACGGCTCGTATAACTTCGACCATTCGCCCCAGGGCGGATTCTCGTTCTATGCCACCGGGCCCAGTCAGTTTAATCTGACGACTGCCAAGGAGGCCACGTTCGGCTACAGGGTGTTTTTCCAGGAAGGGTTCGAGTACAATAAGGGCGGAAAGCTCCCCGGACTCTGTGTGTACTTCTGGTATTTTCTTTTGTGCAGAAATTTACAACGGTGTATGTTCTACTAGACGGCGGCGACAGCTATGACGAAGCTGTATCCTGCTCCGGGGGCCGTCGCGACGATGGGTGCTTCTCATCACGGCTGATGTGGCGCACAGACGGCATGGGCGAGCTGTACACGTACCTCCCGCCCGATTACACCGCGAACCAGGCCGTGTGCGACCAGCCGCCTTTCTCGACATGCAACGACGTCTACGGTGCGTCTGTCGGACGCGGCTCGTTCAACTTCACGGCGGGCCAGTGGAACACGGTCAGCCAGCGCGTGCGGCTGAACGACGCGGGAGCGGAGAACGGCGAGTTGGAGCTGTACGCGGGAGGCGTAAGCGTCGTAAATGTCAGCGGGCTCGTACTGCGGGACAGCGACGACGGGCGCATCTGGGGAATGCAGTTCCAAACGTTCTTTGGCGGTGAGTCGGGCGTGTGCCGTGTGTCTATCGAGTTATTGATTTTTGGAATCAGGCTCGGACGCGTCGTGGGCGTCGCAACAATCGCAATACACGTATTTCGACGATTTCTCGATCGCGATCACGGAGCTGCTGTAGTCGCCACGATTACTCGGGATCCGTGTTTCCTTCATGACCTGACGACGTCCAACATCTCTGATTTTATGTGCACTTCTTGCTCTCCGTAACGGGTGTCCTTGCCACTTTGCATGCAGGGCATACAGTTGGTCTTGCGCTCGTTGCTCTCGATTATTTATTTCGTCCCCTTGCAGTGTATTGAATTCCCTTACGACGCAATCATCCCGCTGCTTCTGTATCGCGTTATCTCATCTATCCTGTTGGCTTATGTGTACGGTACCCTTTTCATCTGCAACACGTGTTCCCCGTTCCCGGCACTTTACACTGCAGGAAGTCAGGCCTAGTCAGGCACGAAGCATGCCTCCCCCCCAGAGTATGTCAAGCGTTTGGCAAATCCCCTTGCAAGCTGGATAGGGCAAGCTTTCACAGTGTTTCGATAATTGTATGTGCGTATTTGTCTTTGTTTTTCCATTACGGCGGATTATTCTCACTCGCTCTTAGACTGCCAAATTACCGTAAGTATATTGCCAAGAACCGCACCAGCAAGGATGAGGCATGAGGCCTTGAGGCTAAGTGCCTGCTACTGGAGGCATCTCGAGAACCCATGTTCACCTCGGACCCGCATTGCGATAGGAGCGAGCATGATGGCTTTGTCTCGGAAGTGACCGTCGCCAACGAGTCCGTTTATGGCAATTGTGGTTGTACAGCTTTTCCTTACTGGACCCCTTTGTTCTCAAACTTGCACGATGCACGTGTACTCACCAAGGTACGACGCCGTACAGGTATCCGTCCTCCTCACCCGGCCACATCGCGAGCTAACCTGATGGCTGTTCGGCAGATCTATACCCGAGAGGATGGAGCAGTTTAGCTCCCCTGAGTCGTGTCTACGAGATTCCAGTTTGCAGAAAGTCACCTCGTTGAAAGAGAAAATTTAGGGCGCCTGCCTCGAGCGCGTCGCATTCGGGGTCGCGAAAATTGACAATGTATGGTTCTGATATGGTCAAGCGGGTTCCGAGGCGTGGCGGGGACAAGGTGGCCGACGCCAAGCTGATGAGATCTTTTCAATTTGTGATCGGAAGGCCTGTGTTTCGGCTAGCACGGTTATCATCCACGATAAAGTCCTTGCGTCCGTCGATTGTCCTCATCCCGCTCCCTCCGGCTTGTGGTCCAGTTTCTTGTGCTGTCTCTCATTCTCTTGCATCGCTCTTTGACGTCTCAAGGCTCACTTTCCTTTGCACACACTCCTCTACACAGCCTACACGAGCAATCTGATCGCCATGTTTTCGCCCTACGTGATCCTCGCCGTCCTGGCACTTCCCCTCGCGTCCGTCTATGCGATCCCTAACCACCACATCCGTCACGGACTGCACCACAACAGGAAGATCCAGGCTCGCGCGCATTCCTGCGAACCCTCCGAACCTTCCTCCAACACCTCGAGCGTCCACTCTTCCGCCGCTGTACCCCAGCCGAGCAGCGCAAGCCCGCCCTCCGATGGCTCCACGTCGAGCTCCGCTATTCTCAGCGAGCTATTCCCAGTCTCCTCCACCAAGTCATGGACGACTGCTCCCCAGGCAAACGACGCTCTGTCCCTGAGCGACGCCACTCTGCGCCCCACCAAGGACATCAAAGCCCTCTCGCACAACTACGTAAACGCTCCGGACGGCAAGTATTCGATGCAGGCGCACTACCCGAAGGGCTCGTACACGTTCAGCAACACTCCCCAGGGCGGCTTCTCGTTCTACGCGCCTGGCCCGGCCGATATCGACCTGACGACCGCAAAGGAGGCGACGTTTGGGTATCAGGTGTTCTTTGAGGAGGGCTTCGAGTTCAACATGGGTGGCAAGCTTCCCGGCCTCTGTACGTACATATATATGAACATTATCGAATTCGTGACTGATGATCATTTAGATGGAGGAAACAGCGCCTCGGAGGCCGTCTCCTGCTCTGGCGGCCGTCGCGACGACGGCTGCTTCTCCGCGCGCATTATGTGGCGTAAGAACGGCATGGGCGAGCTGTACACCTACCTGCCCCCCGGCAAGCCGGGCAACACCAACGTCTGCGACGTCCCGCCGTTCTCGACGTGCAACGACGTGTACGGCGCGTCCGTCGGACGCGGCTCGTTCACCTTCGCGTCCGGCCAGTGGACGACAGTCAGCCAGCGCGTGCGCCTGAACGACGTCGGCCAAGCGAACGGCGAGCTCGAGTTGTTTGCGAACGGCAAGAGCGTCGTCAACGTTGGCGGGTTGACGCTGCGGGATTCGGCGGACGGCCGTATTTATGGCATCCAGGCCCAGACCTTCTTTGGTGGTAGGTCGATTCGCGAGTCGTGCATGTGTGCGGCTGTTCACTGACGCTCCCGCGCTGCGCGCCAGGCTCGACGTCCGCATGGGCCTCTCCCAAGGACCAGAACACCTACTTCTCCGACCTCTCGGTCGCGATCACCGAGACGCTCTAAGCGTCGCGAACTCGGCACCGCCAGTCGCTCACGTCTCCACGACCTCCCTCACGTTCTCTGTATTCTACCCCTTTGCTGATCCTGCATTCTGCCATGCTATCGTACGTATACTTATCGCAAACTCACATCGCTGTGCCCGGGGTACACGCTCGACACTCGCCTTCCCTTACTCGCTCACGCAGCGTGTTTATGACTCCTTAACGTTCCGTGCTGTGCTCGACGCACTGTTATCTGAGCTACTGGCTGCTACGCTATTTACTAAACTCCTGGTTGCGAGCTAGCTCGTCGTACTGTCTTTGATAGATTGATAACTGCTGTGGAACAGCACGTTATTTTATTTGCGGCCGAGCGCTGCCGTTCTGTCCGTGACTTGACCCTGAGGGCCCTGTTTGAGTGTG